CACACGGGTCTGATGTAGTCTGAGAACGTGACTGGCGAGGAGAGTCTGAGCAGAGCGATGTCATTGTCCAAGGTGAAAATGTTGAAGCCTGGATGCAAAACGATGGTGGCGACAGTCTTGGTCACTTCGTTTGGGTTGCTTGCTAGCAGGTTCTGACGACCAAGGGAAACTTCCCATCCAAAGGTACTTGTGCTACAGCCAGAATGCCAAAGGTTAGCTGGCCAAAGCAGAAGAAATGCGTATGCATTCACATTAGGATGACCCACCTGGAGAAGCAGTGGGCGGCAGACATCACCCACTCTCTGTTAATGAGTGAACCGCCACAAACATGGTGACCAAAAGCCTGCAGGCTAGCCTGCCAGGGCCAACTTCCCTCTTGGGCATCTTCGCCACCGACAATCTTCTTTGTGCTGAGCGCTGGGCTGCCACACACTGCCAAACGATAACTCATGAGAATCAGACACAGAAAATTTTCAACCGGACACAAGTCATGTCACACCGACGACAAACTCAAATATCTTTTTAACAACAGAACAACATTGGCCATCTTTCGGAAACGGGCCATTGGCGGAGGAAGCACAGTGGGTCCATCCCTAACGGGTCTTGCTCCGTCAGACTGAAACGCTGTGTGTCCTACAGTGGGAATGAGACCAGGATTGATTTACCATTCCCAGTTGTACCACGGGGCAGGGTTCAATTCTTACTCTTGGCACTTTGGGTGCCATATCAAGAAAATAAAACTTATGTGTTCTTGTCATGTTAACCTAGATTGCAATGTATGCTGTTGCTACGGAACGCACATTCAGCACTGGGCACGACAACAGGAGGTGGTCGAGGACAAGAGTAGTTGCTGTCAGCGTCCGGCCCACTGGAGTCGAAGTGCACAAAGCCCGGCTTATCGGAGCCCACGTGAGAGCCGATCCACGACTGGTAGCGGGACACTCTCGCAAAAACCCCTGGGTCATTTGGCCCAGCGCAGCCAGATCCAACTCTGATGATTCCAGACTGGATCCAGATGCCATCCTGCTTGCTCACCATCGGGCCTCCCGAGTCTCCCTGAGAGAAATGTCTGTCAAAAAAAATATTTTGAACAAACAAATAGGAAAGGATAAGCAGTCTACCAGACACGTGTCTTTCTTTCCATCTGGAAAACCAGCGCAGATGATATTGTCGGTGACCAAATCCACTCCGATTAGGCAGCTACACTGTCTGTTTCCCAGAACCGGGACTTCCACTTCTCGTAACGCTCCAGGGAAAGGAATAGGCACTAAACAAGACAATGGCAGTGCATCAGGGATACACTTGATTCCAAATTTGATCTCAGGTGCCTCACCTCCGCCCTGGACTGTGCCCCAACCAGTGACCCAGCTGCGAGTACCATTGTTGAACACGCTGCTGGTGGCAGCCAGGCACACGGGTCTGATGTAGTCTGAGAACGTGACTGGCGAGGAGAGTCTGAGCAGAGCGATGTCATTGTCCAGGGTGAAAATGTTGAAGCCTGGATGCAAAACGATGGTGGCGACAGTCTTGGTCACTTCGTTTGAGTCGTTTCCTTGCAGGTTCTGACGACCGAGAGAAACCGACCATCCGAATGTACTTGCGCTGCAGAGAGAGTGTCAAAAGGTTAGCTGGCCAAAGCAGAAGAAATGCGTCTGCATTCACATTTGGATGACCCACCTGGAGAAGCAGTGGGCGGCAGACATCACCCACTCTCTGTTAATGAGTGAACCGCCACAAACATGAGCAGCAAAAATTTGCACGCTGGCCTGCCAGGGCCAAATCCCTTCAGAAGCATTTAGACCTCCGACTATCTTTGAGTTCACCGTTTGGTTGCCGCACACTGCAAAACACACGACCGCATGAGAACCCAAGTCCATTTCTATGTGAAATGTTCCGAAAATGTCACATTCCTGTCTACATGCGTGATGCAGTGGGGATTGAGACGCACATTCAGCACTTGACATGACGGACACCGTATCTTCGGTGACGGCTGCAGCTGTTGTGAAAGTGCTATACGGTTCTTCAGTAACAGGACGAGTCAGACCGGGACAAGTGTAGTTGCTGTCAGCGTCCATCCCACTGAAGTTGAACTGCACAAAGCCCGGCTTATCGGAGCCCAAGTGAGAGTTGATCCACGACTGATAGCGCGACACTCTGGTATGAACCCCTGGGTTGTTGGGCCGAGCACAGCCAAATCCAAAACTGATGATTCCAGACTGGATCCAGATGCCATCCTGCTGGCTCACCATCGGACCCCCTGAGTCGCCCTGGGAACAGGAAGAAGAAATGGCTGTCAAAACTGATCTCAACACTTGATCACCAAGCGGGGGGAAAAAAAATGAAAAAGTACTCTACCAGACAGGTGTCTTTCCCTCCTTCTAGAAAACCGGCACAGATCATATTGTCCGTGACTAAACCAACTCCGTTCAGGCAGTTACATTGCCTATTTCCCAGAACTGGGACTTGCACTTCTTGCAGTGTTCCACGGAAGGAGGGGGACACTAAATAATACAATGTCAGTGTATCAGGTACGTTTCAGAAATGAGTGCGCTATATTACAATAAGAGTTGAGAAAGTCTGTTGTCTTACTAGGATAGTGCCTCACCTCTGCGCTGAACGGTTCCCCAACCAGTGACCCAGCTGCGAGTACCATTGTTGAACACGCTGCTGTTGGCAGCCAGGCACACGGGTCTGATGTAGTCTGAGAAGGTGACTGGCGAGGAGAGTCTGAGCAGAGCGATGTCATTGTCCAAGCTGAAGATGTCGAAGCCAGGATGTAAAATGATGGTGTGCACATTTCTGGACACTTTGTTTGAATTGTTTCCCTTCAGGTTCTGCAGACCAAGAGAAGCCGACCATCCGAGGACACTTGTGCTACGGAGAGAATTCCAATGGGTGTTAAATGGTGAAAGTAGAAGACATGGAGATGTTTTCAATGTTCTGGTGATGCACCTGGAGAAGCACTGGGCAGCAGACAGTACCCACTCTCTGTTTATGAGGGAACCACCGCAAACATGGGTACCAAAATTCTGCAGACTCGCCTGCCAGGGCCAACTTCCTTCTTGAGCAGCTCCACCCCTGACAATCTTTGTCTTCGGGAGCGGGATGCCACACCCAACAATTGATATGCTGGGCACGGCATCTGTGATTGTAGCGGGACCTTCAGTAACAGGAGGCGGTAGACCAGGACAAGTGTAGTCGCTATCAGCGTCCATTCCGCTGGAGTCGATGTGCATAAAGCCCGGCTTATCTGGGCCGATGTGGGCGTTGATCCACGACTGGTAGCGCGACACTCGCACATAAACGCCTGGATTGTTTGGCCGCGCACAGCCAAAGCCAAAACTCACGATTCCAGACTGGATCCAGACGTCATCATGCTGACTCACCATGGGACCTCCCGAGTCCCCCTGAGGATATCGAGAGGAATCGTCTGTCATCGCGTCATTGCCGTCTTTCGGCAGGAAAGCGGCAGCAGCGGCCTACCTGACAAGCGTCTTTCCCTCCTTCTGGAAAACCAGCGCAGATCATATTGTCTGTGATCAAACCCACTCCATTTAAGCAGTTACACTGTCTGTTTCCTACGACTGGGACGTTGACTTCTTGTAGCGTTGCAGGGAAGGGAAGAAGCACTGAACAAGACATTGGCAGCGTATCAGTTCTACCCTCATTTTGCTCCAATCTTTTATGAAAGAAAATGGAATTTCACCGCAGGTTCAGAGACTCACCTCCGCTCTGGATGGTTCCCCAACCAGTGACCCAGCTGTGAGTGCCATTGTTGATTACACTGCCGTTGGCAGCCAGACACACGGGTCTGATGTAGTCTGAGAACGTGACTGGCGAGGAGAGTCTGAGCAGAGCGATGTCATTGTCCAAGGTGAAAATGTTGAAGCCTGGATGCAAAACGATGGTGGCGACAGTCTTGGTCACTTCGTTTGGGTTGCTTGCTAGCAGGTTCTGACGACCGAGAGAAACCGACCAGCCGAAGGTACTTGTGCTACAGAGAGAGTGTCAAAGGTTAGCTGGCCTAAGCAGAAGAAATGCGTATGCATTCACATTAGGATGACCCACCTGGAGAAGCAGTGGGCGGCAGACATCACCCACTCTCTGTTAATGAGTGAACCGCCACAAACATGAGTCGCAAAAATCTGCACACTGGCCTGCCAGGGCCAACTTCCCTCTTGAGCATCTTCGCCACCGACAATCTTTGTGCTGAGCGGTGGGCTGCCGCACACTGCCAAACGATAACTCATGAGAATACAAGAATGCAGTTCCACATTGTTGAGAAACAGTACACAGGTAATGCCACACTTTGGACAAACACAAACGTCTTTTTGACGACAGAATAGCTGCTTCCAACTAGAAGAGTAGTTGAGCTCTGTACATTACATTTGAGAAATCGTCATAACAACATTGGCCATCTTTCGGAAATGGGCCATTGGTGGAGGAAGCACAGTGGCACCGTGCCGAAAGGGTCTTGCTCCGTAAATACTGAAATGCTGCATGCTTCATAAACATAAAATTCATGTGTGCTTGTCACGTTGTTGTGGTTACAGTGGAACGCACATTCAGCACTGGACAGATCCTCAGGAGGTGGTAGAGGACAAGAGTAGTTGCTGTCAGCGTCCGGCCCTCTGGAGTCAAAGTGCACAAAGCCGGGCTTATCGGAGCCGATGTGAGAGGCGATCCACGGCTGGTAGCGGGACACTCTGGTGTAAATCCCTGGGTTGTTCTGCCGAGCACAGCCAAATCCAAAACTCACGATTCCGGACTGGATCCAGATGCCGTCCTGCTCACTCATCATTGGACCTCCTGAGTCTCCCTGAGGGCGTGGTGGTGAGGACTCATCTGTCACAACGTCGTTTCACATTGAAAAACTAAAGAGAAAATGAGAAGTGGTCTACCTGACAAGTATCTTTTCCTCCTTCTAGAAAACCAGCACAGAGCATATTGTCCGTGACTACACCTTCTCCGTTTAGGCAGTTACACTGTCTGTTTCCCAGAACTGGGACTTGCACTTCTCGTAGCGTTTTAGGGGAGGGGAGAGGCACTAAAACAGACAGCAAAAGTAGAAAAGGTATATTCAACAAACATCATTGCGAGTTTTTGCTTTCCGCTACGACCTAAGAAATACCTCACCTCCCTGCTGGACTGATCCCCAACCGGTGACCCAGCTCTCAGTACCGTTGTTAAACACGCTGGTGTTGGCCGCCAGACACACAGGTCTGACGTAGGCGTTGAACTCGACTGCAGACGAGAGTCTGAGCAGAGCAATGTCATTGTCGAAAATTTGATTGTCAAATAAAGGATGCGGAATGATTTCAGCAACAGGCAGGGCCACTTCGTTTGGTTCAATGCCCTCCAGGTTCCTACGGCCGAGAGAAACGGACCACCCAGTGGTACTTATGCTGTAGAGAGAATGCCAGAGGTTATATGGGCAAATTCGAGGCAATTGGTATGTTTTGATGTTGGGGTGACCCACCCGGTGAAGCAATGGGCAGCGGACAGCACCCACTCACTGTTGATGAGAGTACCACCACAAACATGGCTACCAAACGTCTGCAGACTAGCTTGCCAAGGCCAACTTCCGGCTGCAACAACATCGCCCCCAACTATCTTGTTCCTCTGTGACGGTATTCCACACACTGTAAACACGGCACTTCATTATAATCCGGGAGGACTGGTCCATCACCAAGAAAATGTCTGACTTTTCTCATTGCTTTACAACGCCAGCCGCATCAAAAGTGTGTCTGAAAACACGCAATTTTTTTTTTATTTTTTGTTATTTTCCTGCACCACTTGTTGCTAGCCTAACCTTGAGATTGGAACGACAGTGGTACCATATTTCAAGAAGCTGAGAATAGATGTATTCTGGATGTGACAATGTGTTGGCGCGGGCAGAGCTGCGTGCGGTGCAAGACTAGTCGGAAACACGTTTTAAGTGTTGTAAGGTTTGCTTGAAGCTCCTACTCTAGTTTGCCAGTGGGATGGTGATCGTGACGCACATTCGGCACTTGTCAGGGTGGGCACGAGATCTTCGGCTGCATCCGGTCCTTCAGGAGTGGCAGGAGGCGCACCAGGGCAAGTGTAGTTACTGTCCGCATCCAGCCCGCTGGAGTTGAACTGCACAAAGCCCGGCTTATCGGAGCCCATGTGAGAGTAGATCCACGACTGGTAGCGGGACACTCTGGTATAAACCCCTGGGTTGTTGGGCCGAGCACAGCCAAATCCAAATCTGACGATTCCAGACTGGATCCAGATGGAATCCTGCTCGCTCACCATCGGACCTCCCGCGTCGCCCTGAGGATGCCGCGAGAAATTGTCTGTCATCGAGTCATTGCCATCTTTAAGCGGGAAAGCAGCAGCAGCCGACCTGACAAGCGTCTTTGCCTCCCTCTGGAAAACCAGCGCAGATGATATTGTCTGTGACCAGATCCACTCCGATTAGGCAGCTACATTGTCTGTTTCCCAGAACTGGGACTTCCACTTCTCGTAATGTTCCAGGGAACGGGACAGGCACTAAACAAGACAATGGCAGTGCAGGAATACATTTGATTCCAAATTTGATCGAAGGTTCAGCGCCTCACCTCCGTCCTGGACTGTGCCCCAACCAGTGACCCAGCTGCGAGTAGCGTTGTTGAACACGCTGCTGTTGGCAGCCAGGCACACAGGTCTGACGTAGTCCGAGAAGGTGACTGGCGAGGAGAATCTGAGCAGAGCGATGTCATTGTCCAGGGTGAAAATGTTGAAGCCTGGATGCAAAATGATGGTGGCGACAGTCTTGGTCACTTCGTTTGAGTTGTTTCCTTGCAGGTTCTGACGACCGAGAGAAACCGACCATCCGTAGGCACTTGTGCTGCAGAGTAAAATTGCCCAAGGTTAGACGGTGGAAACAGAAGAAACGTCTCGGATGTTCGTGCGAGCTACCCGTAGAAACAGTGGGCAGCAGACAAAACCCATTCCTTGTTGATGAGGGAACCACCACAAACATGGCTGCCAAAATTCTGCAGACTAGCCTGCCAGGGCCAACTTCCTTCCTGGGCATCTCCGCCACCGACAAGCTTGGTGTTCAGTGGTGGGCTGCCACACACTGGGAAAAACAGGTTACAATGAATCCATGAAGAGAATGTTGAACGGGCTCAGACAAATCTTTGTATTTACACTGAGAGCTTACCATCCGGCTGAGCATGAGACGCTGGGAAAACACAAACACAAAATTCATTCCTTGTCCCAAACAGGTCGGTTGACATGAAATAGCTCAACACGCACTCCTATGAGTGACTTCCTTTTCTGAAAATTTTATCGGCAGATCACCCCTACCAAAAAAATCTAGACTTTGACGATGGAAAAAACGTCATCTTTGCCAATATTAAACTAATGGCCTCTATAAATTGGTGTGCGGTCTCTCATACAGAAATGAAACTAGAGTGAAAATAACGTATACTTATTTTCACCAAAAATGAATTAATAAAATTCATCATACAGTACTAGAAAAAAAATCTATCGCAAAATGTTGGATTAAATTATAGTGTATGAGTAGAATCAGCACTCGCGCATAAATTACACGACACGCAACCTCGGCTTGCTTCGTCTACTTCAAAGTACTCCGTCACCCGATCATCAAATCGACCATATTTTGGGTGACTTTTGAATATTTCGAAGCAGAACAGTACACACAAGTTCAGAATTTCAGGGCGACTTACTTGCCGTGAAAAAGCCGAGCAGAGCCAATATGTTGAGCTGTTGCTTCCAACCCATTGTGAAAAATGCACAAATCTTGCATGGTTCGCTGTAATTAAGCTCGAGTGGGCCCCGTCACCTATTAGGAGGCGAGCTCCTCCCACATGCACAACCACCCCCCACAATTATCATCACTTGCCTTACAATCACCGCTTCCTATGAAGTGAATACTGCAAATACTTGACATCTCAGACAGTTGACAAACAACATTTTTCAAAAGTGACTTTTCTGCCCAGAACGAGGCAATCCTACAGGCCCTTTGAAAAGTGCAGTGATTGACTGACTACCTGCTACTGACATGCCACATCAGACTTCTTCTTGCTTCCCCTCGCTATTCCGCCTTCTCTCCATGATGGGCGTACATTCAGGGGCGACCCACGAGGCACTCTAAAGTTGGCCCCTCCAGCATGAAGCCCTGCTGCTCACACACTGGCCGTCAAGTTAAATGGTCTCCCGTCTGCACACTCTTCCAACTTTCTCTGCGGGGCCTTTCCATGCCACGACGAGGCACTCTAAAGACAAGTCAAAATGTTTTGCATATCCATTTGTCACAAAAGAGTCTCAAATACATTTTGCTACATCTTGAATGAGTTTTACAAGCACGCAGTAATCACATTTTCACTTTACATTTGACCTTTTCTTTTTCAGCCGCCTTCTCCTCGGTTAGGCACTGTGAAAACAACTATGTTGATGTGCAAATAGGGTGTGAGGAAGCAACCGGTTTGGTGTAAACACTATTAAAGCTGGGAGGAAAATGCAGACAGACCTCTCCAAGTTCCTTTTCAGCCAAGTCAAGGTGTGCTTAAAAGAATGCATTCTTTTTCACTCAGTGGCGGGGAAGCTTTGGAGCCAGGAGAGCATCGGATACATTGTACACACAAAAGCTCATCACCTACAACATATTCATTTTGTATTTATTGGATCGCATCGTTTTTTTTTTTCCCTCATACATTCAGGATGGCCCTTTGAGGAATAACTGAAATGGTCTCCATGTAAGAAAAGGTTTCCCCACTTGCATTTTGAGGATCAGAATGGGAGGTCATTTAAGGCACCATTTTTTGGGGGGGATGACCATTAACTTCATATTTGGTCATGCGTTGAATATAAACAGAACGATGAAAGGCATGAAGGCTTCAAGGATTTGTACAACACGGTCAGTGGGTGCAGCAGAAACTCACACACAAAGTTGTCTGGGTGCATTCAGTTGAAAAATCTTTGCAAAGTCCCCCCATTATTGCAAGTGCTTTCATTTCAGCGTGCGTGGCACATCTTGTACTTGACTTGGCTTTAGAGTCGACACAACGTACAGTGCATGTATAGTGTTGCCCTTAAAGAGGGTTTCTCGAACAATCGGATCACACATTCGATACATTGTGTGAAATCAGTCTGGGCGTAAACACTGCTCAAATAATAACTAAATAAATCATGATTCGTCATCTTATTTTTTGCTTTCAGGGCCATGGGTTGGATCAATTCCCGCTATGTTTTGAAGATGGAAATGTTTTTCATTCTCAATTTTAAAAAATCAAATCACCCAAATTTTATATAACGCTCTCATAAATAACCCTGATCTCCCCGACAGACGTAAAAGTTTGTTGCTAAAGTCTACTTGCATACAAATAACCGTACAAGACAGCCTTCATCCCAAAACAACCTTTAGGGATTTGTCGCCATCTTGTGGGGCCTTTACGAAAGTGGCACAAAATATAGAGAGGGGGGAAAAAAGTGTGTGCGTGCGTGTGTTTGCATCAGCTTCCTCGTTAGACTCCACAAGACAAAAAACAGGTTTTAGCTAAAGTTTCATTACCTTTCATCTGCTGTGACTTATAAAATTAGTTTTGTTTAAGATTAGTTTTGAGTCTTCTCACAAATCACAGTAACATCTGTCAACTTTATTATTCACCACTATATTATCAATTGTACGAGGACAGGCAACAATTAAGTTAAAAACAGCTGACTGAATACCAAAAAAAGTGAGATGAATCCTGTTTTTTGTTTAAAAAAAAAAAAAAAGTCTCAACGGGGGTAAACAAAGCAGTCACACCAATGTTGCTGCTTCTGGCCAGGAGGGAGGGAGAGAAGGGGAGGGGGTGTAGAATGAAACACTTGTTTTTTTGGAATGATTATTATCCTGCCTTCTCCTTCTTCCCTTCGATGGCGCTCCTTCGCTTGAGGTTGGTGTAGAGCAAGGCAAAGTTGACGATGTATGTTGACACGCAGACCATGCAAAAATCTCCCAGGACAAAAGCCAGAATGGAGGCGAGGTAGAGCGAGCCGGCCACCGACACCCAGGAGGACAACACCAAGAACAGAGCGGCCTTTTTGGACAGGGTTAGACCTGCGAGAAAAACAGACACACAACTAAGTGAGAGCAATTTTTTGTGTGTTTGTGTCTCACATAAATGTTGTCATATATTTCAAAATTAAGTCCATTCCAGCACTGCAATAAAACAAAAAGAAAGCAAAGACTCCTCCCTACCTTAGATTTGAGCCAATTAAAAGCTCGGATATGATTGTGATGCATCATCACCAAAATCTGACATCACTAGATGAATAAAGTTGGACCTTTTTTAAGACAAAAAGTTGTATTATAACAGAAGTAGAGTCCTATTCCCCCCAGCCCCCCTAGAACAAAATTTGTATTTTAGGGAGAAAGCTTCTACCGTGGTGATACATTTGTTTGTCCCTTTCACAGCTGCAGCACAAAGCCAATGACAAAAAAAAAAATAAAATACCCACACCCCCCAAAAAAATTGTTGGGTATCAGATTCTCTTGCATCCAAACTATTGTGCAGTGAATTCGGGTGGAATGCAGACCAACATTCCGACTTTCGCTTTTTGTTGTTGCTGCTGCTGCTGCTGCTTACAACCGCACACGGTATTTGCAAACTGTCATTAGGAGAAGGCAAACTAACCCAGGCCTAGCTGCAGCGTGTAAAATAGAATTCCAAGAACACTGTTGGGCTGGTTCAGAGGGCTATCTTGGGCAACAAAGAACTGGACCAAGCCAAAACCACGTCCCCATCTGCAAAAAGATAAAAGGAAAACTGTACATATAAATACTGGATGCAAAATACCGTCTACTGAAAAAATGTTTGACATCGGTCAAACATTCTCAGGAAGCGAAGTGGCATTTCACAATTTGGGGTCAACGACTCCAACGCTCTGTCACCAAATGCAAAAATGACACACACACACACACACACACACACACACACACACACACACACACACACACACACACACACACGACATGATTGCCTCCTCAAAATCTTGCAGACGCTAATGATGGAATTTCAGTGGGGGTGATCCGAGATAAGCACGCATGATTTGAATTTTGGCGAGAAGTCGTCCACGAGCTGTAAAACGTGGCAGAAAAAGATGGGTGGGCGGATTCCGGCCACGAGGACCAACCGAGTTAAACCTCCAACACGACATCACCGTGGCCCGTGGGCTTCGTCTTTTAATGTGTGGGAAAGTACAATAAAAACAACGAACAACACCTGGATGTGAAAACTTTGGAGCAGCTGACAGACTCTCCCAAGTCGCACATCGCTCTGTAGTCTGGGTCGTGCTCGCGGGACAATTCCACGTGAAGCGCGTAAACTGACAAAATCAAACCGAAGACGCACAAAAACACGCGCACTGTCCTCTCCCACTTGGGCATGCCTTCTGCCGCTGCCATGTCTGTATCCACGCAAATAAACCACGTCCAAACTTTCACCCAGAGAGGAACAAAACGACGATGAGCGGCTGTCTCGGGCCGGGACGAAAGCGTCAACGCATTTCGCTTGTTAATTGGCTCGTGGGGTTGTAGCCCCGCCTTTTCGCTTGTTGATTGGCTCGGGGTTTCTCAGCCCCTCCTTCGCCAGCTTGTGGACCAGACCAGGGGACAACAGTGGCGTCATTATATTGATTTAGCGAGTTCGAATTAGAAAATATGTCCAAGCAAAAGTCATGAATTTTCAGAATTTCTAATGATCACTCCAATAAGCAGTGTTGTGTGCAGCGTTCACTACTTGGTGTCAAAATAGCTATCCAAATGAATGCATTAAGTGTCAGTGTGTTCCAACTCAACTGTGAAATAAATACATCATAAAGTTATAGTCTCATGGTTGATCATTAAATTGTAAATTAAAAATAGAGCAAAAGACAACCTAGTTTAACAGAGTGACTATCCCGCCTTCTATATTCCTATTGGACAGACTAACTGTCATCACATACCATTTGATTGGCTCGTCACAGGCCAATCACAATGCCACGTGCAGTATTTTTTTCCGTTCAGGGACCTCCCGGACACGCACAAATTCTGCCTCCGACTTGATGCGATGCTTCGAAAAATAACTCCTCAACCTTTTCGGCCATTTGCTGCAGTAACAAAGAAGAGACTCCAAATCAGGCTGGAATGTTGTCGCTTCCGCCGTAAACTCGCCCGTGTAGCAAAACGATGCGAAAGCGAACGCCTCAAGCTCGCGAGTGTATTTTTGTCCGACAGAGGGCGTTCGTGCAAGTTGGTGGCTGGCGCCCGCCGTGAAAGGATACTGTCGAAGAAGACAAAGACAAGGAAACGCCAGACAAAAACAAGACGCTGACATGCTACCTAGGCGTTGAAAAGACTCAATTAACGGACGTTTTGGTGAGTTCGCAAGGTGAACGACCGTCACGTGACGCTGAAACATACCCGCACGGTTGGTTATGTTACGTCAAAAATGACATCGACTTACATTATTTGTCGTTGACAAGGCTACGCCCCTGCCATGAGAGATGGGGAGATACTGTAGTGTAGAACGACGCGGTACGATGCAGTCTTTTTCTTGTTGCTCAGCATTGCAATTGTACTTCACTTGCTTGTATGGGAATTTCAGTTCAGAGAGTGCGTCGTATGTCAAGGTGTCTCCCTCACTACTGTCAACGAATACCCGATTATTTCATCAGCAGGGTCTATCGGTCGTTTGAATGATCAAGGTTGCTTAGCTTGTTATTGAATGAGCCAAGGAGGGCCCGGAGGTACATATTTTACATTTGGAAACATCTAACCACAAACCACCCAAACCAAAATGTCACAAAGTATACATCCTGAAATAATGATGATCTAGTCCGAATTTACTCACAAATCCACATGGTGTGCAAGAAGGAATTTCTGCCCACAGCAACAATTAAGTCATCCAAAACGATGCAACTAATTTGTATTTTACCTTTGCTCACAATGCATCCCTCCCATTTCCACAGAGAGATGTCATCTGAAGAGCATGGGGATGGTCAAAAGTGTCAACCTGCGGCCGTGACGCCTGCAAGCATGACGGCGGGAAAAGGCGATGAGAACCTGCACGCGGTTAGATCGATGAGCGGCAGTACGAACACCAGCACAACTGCCAAAAACTTGGCTTTGCTTAAAAAGCACTCACTGGATGTGAAGTTTGATGTGGGCGAGGAGTACGATGTCATTGAAACCATCGGCACCGGTGCCTATGGCGTCGTGTCATCTGCCAGGAGACGAGATAATGGTGCGGCTTATTTGACATGAAATCAACCTATTTTTTCTGCACAGCAAATGCCCCATTTATTGCAGTTGATGGGTTCCAGACCCACCCGTGATGTGTTTTGGTCAAGGTGGTAAAGACCATACATGTGTTAAAACACATTTCAACTTATAACCACTCACTTTTTAAGTTTTCCTTGAGTCTTGTCTGCATTTACACTTTGACTCGCACAGTTCCACAAATGAGGAGAAACCTGCTTGCTTCAAGCCGTTTGTCACTCCCAGTGGCAAATTACTGTAAAACTGGCACATCAAGCAAAGGAATTAATCTTTGTATCCACAAACATTCCAATGTTCAACTAAACCATAGCGTACAAAGTTAATCTCGAATAATATATTCTCTCTGGGAACTATGACTGTTACTACAAGTTAGTAGGGGACCACCTCTGCCTCCCGTTACAGCGCATCTACATCCAGTATGTTGCAGCCTGAAGTACTAGACTGAATGCGCGCAACTCTAAATTCACACTTACCTGTATGCTCTAAAAATCCACTCATTAAAAATCAGCGAGAGCTCAACTTCATTCACCACAAGCTCATTGTCATTTATGCTTTTCGGAGAAGATGTGCAAGACTGTACTCACGCTTTCATATGCTTGATGTAACTCAGGCCAACAGGTGGCGATAAAGAAGATCTCCAATGCCTTTGAAGTGGTGACAAACGCCAAGCGCACCTTGAGGGAACTGAAAATTCTCAAGCACTTCAAACATGACAACATCATCGCCATCAAAGACATCCTGCAGCCTAACCTTCCTCACTCGGCCTTCAAGTCTGTGTACGTGCTGTTATTTGGACGCAAATGCATGAAAATGCAATGACACAAAAGGTTGAAAATTAGTAGAGATGGCACAAGTACAAAGGAAAAGTACAAATATTACTCGACGTGATGTAAAATGCTAACATTTGGGAAGGCCCATTCCTTTGTTCTTGTTACAATTATTAGCAGAGACTGAACTCCTTTACCTAAAAAAAACAAACAAAAAAGACTGAAACGTACTTCAATACAGATGTAAAAAATCAAATGCTTACTCTTAATGATATAAAATAGCAGTTTTCAAAACTTTCCTTACCTGTCATACTGCTTGTAATAAAGGTTCAAATAAAATGTATGCGCCTGCAATCAAAACATGTTCCCATAGTCTGTAATGCCGTGAGCTAAATAACAAAAACAAAACCAAAAAAAAAGCTGGCATTGTATCAACTGGCTCCGGTTCACTTTCTCTTCTTCCTCCCTTTGCAGTTATGTGGTGCTGGACCTCATGGAGAGTGACTTGCACCAGATCATCCACTCGGCCCAAGCGCTCACGCCGGAGCACACGCGCTACTTCCTGTACCAGCTTCTCCGCGGTCTTAAGTACGTGCACTCCGCCAACGTCATCCACCGCGACCTCAAGCCCTCCAACTTGCTGGTGAATGAGAACTGCGAGCTAAAAATCGGCGACTTTGGCATGGCCAGGGGTCTGAGCTCCCACCCCGAGGAATCACACTCCTTCATGACTGAATACGTGGCGACCCGATGGTACCGAGCTCCCGAGCTGCTCCTGTCCCTGAATCACTACACGTTGGCCATCGACATGTGGTCCGTGGGCTGCATCTTTGCCGAAATGTTGGGGCGAAAGCAGCTTTTTCCCGGCAAGCACTACGTCCACCAGCTCCAGCTCATCTTGTCCGTACTGGGCACCCCTCCCAAGGGACTAATTGGTGCTATTAGAGCCGAAAGGGTGCGCTCCTATGTTGAGAGTCTTCCGTCCCAATCGGCAGTGCCCTTAGCCAAACTGTACCCCCAAGCTGAGCCGGGGGCTTTGGACCTGCTCGCGTCCATGCTCCGATTTGACCCACGTGAGCGAATCAGTGTGACTCAAGCACTGGAACATGCGTACCTGGCCAAGTACCACGATCCCGACGACGAGCCCATCTGCGTGCCGGCGTTTGACTTTGAATTTGACAAGCTTCCCATGAGCAAGGAGCAGATCAAAGAGGAAATTCTCATGGAGATCCAGGACTTTCATCGGAACAAGCAGGGCTCGCGTCAGAGGCTTCAGTTCAGGCCCTTGGTGAAGGCGAACGGCGGCGACAGAGGAGCCGCGACGCAAAGCACCCAGCGTGTCGCTCGGGTTTCCTCGACCAGTCTGAGCGAGTCCACGCAGGTTCCCGGCGAACACAACCAGAAAACCTCACAAATGAGAGAGACCGAGTCAACGTGGCAACGAGGGCCAGCCGAGGTGAACCGGACGTTCACGAATCAAATGGACACGTGTGGCAAGGATGCCGTCAATTTGCCTCGCCTGACAAAAAGCGAAAGCGGCCCGGTCGACGTGGACATGCCCAGCGCCAACTCGGACAGCGGCCAGCCAGAGACCATCGATCTAACCACACCCGTGTCCGGTCACGATGCTGAACCAATGCGGGGCAATGAAGGGCAGGAAAGGCGGCCTCCGCCCAGCCAGAGCCAGCCTTCGTCCTCCACGACACCTTTAGCCAGTACTGTGCCTTCCCTTTCGCTGTCAGCTGCCCAAGCGCAGTCGCTGTCCCACAGCCTCTCGCAGTCCCTGGCAACAAACCAGAAGCCGCCCCACGGTGCCTCCGAGGGGCCCAGGAAAGATGGGGCCATATCAGAAGACACCAAAGCAGCTCTGAAAGCAGCTTTATTCCGAAATAAAGCCAGGGGCGGTACGTTTGTGTGTTTGTTGTTTAATTGTGGCTCCAAAATGATTCTCTTGTAACATTCAACTATGGTTATTTTGAAACAAATATTCGTTCAACATTCATTACTTTTAATGTGGGCTGGATTTAATTTGATTTAGAAAATGTAGCAGGCGACAAACGTTCTTGGTCATAATTTCATTTCTATGATTTCTATTGCAGATGGAGTTGTCGCTGCACTGGGGACAGAGGCGGCCACCGGAGGAGGAGGAACATCGTCGGCCGTTTCCACGCCAGAGTCGCGACGCCCCGTCACCGCTCAGGAGCGCCAGCGAGAGCGTGAGGAGAAGAGGAGGAAGAGGCAGGAACGAGCCAGAGAGAGGGAGAAGAAACTGAAGGAGAAGGAGAAGCGAGAGGGAAGGCGCGGGGACTCGCTGGGCGGGGTCCTGCTGAGTGACAACGACAAGAGCCTCTTGCAGCGCTGGACAAAGATGATGGACAGCCGCAATGACAAATCCCACACGTCTAACAGCGAGGGAGGGAGGACTCGAGACTTTAATGTGAACGCCGCTACGGGTGACAACACTCAAGGGTCAGCC